TGCTGGTGGGAGGGATGGGAAAGCAGGGGGCGGCTGACAGGGAAAGGGCATTCTCTGAGATGCTCTCCTTTTTCCCAGAACTTGGAGGTGGCCCGCTATGGGGCCCAGAATCTTTTTGTTCCTGTGTCTTATTGGTGAGTTCCCCAGGCAGCAAGGGGGTCCCTCCCTCCCCATCCACCTCTGGCCCCCAGCCTGGCACTGAGGAGGGGCGGGGGGCTCACTCTGTGTCCCCGGTCACCTTCGCTCATGGGGTCCTTCACATCTCTGTCCCCCTATGTCTTCTGATCCATCTCCCTTCTCTCTCTCCCTGTCACTATGTCCCTGTCCATCTCTTTCTCTCTGAATCTGTGCCTCTCATTTTCCTCCTATCTTTAAATCTCTCTCTCTCTTCCTCTCTGTGTCTCTTTGGGCATTTCACTGCATCTTTTTCTGTGCATCACTGAGTCTGTGTCTTCCTGTCTCTGACTGTCTCTCAGGATCTCTGTCTTTCTCTTGCCTCTCTCTCTCTCTGTCTGGGATCCACAATCTCTAGGTCTCTGACCCCATCTCTCTGGCCCACAGTCCCGTCCTCAGGACTCAACCAGGATACCACTGTGAAGATTGTCAATGGCAGACAGTGTGACCCTCACTCACAGCCTTGGCAGGTGGGGCTGTTTCTGGGCACCAACTTGCGCTGTGGGGGGGTCCTTATCGACCGCAGGTGGGTCCTCACGGCTGCTCACTGCAGCAGCAGGTAAGCCCCTCATTTGGGTCCCTTCCTGGGGTGGTCCAAGGGAGGGTGATGGGGAGAGGAGCGCTGAGGGTAGGGGCTCACGGGAGGGGGATGCTGAGAAGTAAGGAGATGGTCCTGAAGCAAGAAGGTCTGAGGTTAGACAAGGAGTAGGACTTCCTCAACAATGGGCCTGGGGTGGGGCAAGGAGTGGGCAGCAGAGGATCCTGGGGCCTGCCCACTCACCTCCTCCCATTCCCTCACGTGCCACTTCCTTCCTATATGGCATCTGTCACCATCTCCAGCCCTTCCCTGACCCAGTCTGGGCCCTGGACCACATCTGGCACCTCTCTGGGGCTCAGTCTTCCCATCTATAAAATGAGGGGATCAGGATTTCTAGGTCCAAAGCTCTGGATTTTTTGTGAAGGGGAAGTTTCAGACAGGAAGAGATGGAGAGATTCGGGAACAGGGAGAGACACAAGCAGAACAGAGGGAGTCCACTCATTATTCACGCGTTCATTTGGTTGACAGTGTCGACAGCCCAGGCAGTCTCCGAGGTGGTGAGAACAGAGCGTGAACAGGACTGACGGGTGTCCCTGCCCCCATGGGCTTCAAGGGCTAAGAGAATCAGAAAGTGACACCGATGCAATGGCATGGGGAGGAGAAATAGGGTGAATCCTCAAAATGGAAAGATGGCGGTGGGGATCAGAGACTGAAAGAGACAGACTTAGAGAGAGAACAAGAACAAGTGGATGAGGGAGGAGGGACAGACACTGAGATGCACAGTGGGCAGGAGGGTCTGGGATGCTGGGACGGTCCCAGGGGACCGGCTCGCCACTGAGCCACCATGACCCCCAGCAGGTACTGGGTGCGCCTGGGGGAACACAGCCTCAGCCGACTGGACTGGACGGAACAGATTCGGCGCAGTGGCTTCTCCGTGACCCACCCTGGCTACCAAGGATCTGGGCAGAGCCATGACCATGATCTCCGGCTTCTGCGGCTGGGAAGCCCCGTTGTCTTGACCAAGAGTGTGCAGCCGCTGCCCCTGCCCACGACCTGTGCAGCCGCCGGCACCAAGTGCCTCGTCTCGGGCTGGGGCATGACCAACCAATCATGGAGTAAGGGGGCCCCGGATGGGCAAAAGTCTAGGGTGCAGGGTGAGAGGTTAGGAGTCATGCCACCTCAGAGGAAAGACGGGTCAAGCATCAGGATCATGGTTTGGGGACTGAGACCGTGGTGGATCAGGGGTCTTGGGAATCAAAGCGGTTAAGGGGTTGGGTATGGAGTCAGAAGTCATGGGTCAGGGATGTGGTTAGAGGTCAGAGTGATGTCAGGGGTCATCAGACTAGAGCAAAAGGCATATGTAAATAGGATCTTGAGGTCATGGGTCATGGACTCCGGTGTCAGAGGTCACTGTAGAGTTGAGGTCATGGGATCCAGATGTCGCACAACCTGGCCACAATCTGGGGATGGAAATTGGGATTTCATCAGGAATCACTGGTCTGGAATTGGAAGTCACAGAGTTTGGGGTGTGGAGCCAAAGGTTAGAGGTCATGGAGTCTGGGGTCAAATCCAGTGGGATCACAGGTCACTTCGTAGTTAGGACCAGTGGTTTAGAGGATACAGAGCTGAGGTTGGAGGTTAAGGTGAAGACACAGAGGGCTGGGAGGAGACAGAGAGAAGACCCGAGGTGAAACTGGGGTCAAAGGTAATAAGACTGAAGGTCAAATGACACAGCATCTGTGATTGAAGGAGAAGATCAGGTCTGGAGTCATTGTATTTCTGAGGTTGGAGGGACAAGGAGAGTCTTGAGTTATGGCACTCAGAGTCAGGTTAAAGGTCAGGAAGACTGGGCCAATGAACTGGGGTTAAGGGTCACTATGAAATCAAATCATAAATCTGAAATTTAGAGGTTTGAGGATTGTAGCGGAGGTCACAGGGAGGGATGGAGTATAGACTTAGATTGGGCTTCCTTGAGAAGAGGGATGTGGCCCCAAAGAGGGGAGCTTTGGGGAGCCCTGCAGCATCCATCCTCCACCCCCAGGCCCATTCCCGGATCAGCTCCAATGCCTCAACGTCTCCATCGTCTCCAGCGCCGCCTGTAGGGCCGTGTTCCCGGGGAGAATCACGGACAACATGGTGTGTGCCGGCGGCATACCGGGGGAGGATGCCTGCCAGGTGAGAGAATGCAGGCAAGGCTGGTCACCCAGGACAGGAAGCAGGGCGTGGAGAAGTGGGAGGGGCTGGGGAAGGCGAGTCAGGGAAAGGGGATGGGGGAGGGAGATGGGGTTGGAAAGAAGGGGAGGACACAGGATAAGGGAAGGAGAGAGAATAGGAGGGAGAGCCAGAGGATGGAGGGCAGAGAGAACAGAGCAAGGGCGGGAACAGAGAAGGAAAGATGGGAGGGGCACAAAGACAGAGCGAGGAAGAGACAGAGAAGACGGGGGAGGGCAAAGAGCAAGCCGGCATTAGGAGCTCAGGCTGCCTCTCAGGTTCTGAGTCTTCCCCATCCATCCTCCAGTTGATGCTGGCCCAGGCGCGAGTGAGAGATTCCAGGTTGGAGGCAGGAAAGGGGGCTGGAGGAGTCCCTCACCCTCTAATTCAGCTACCTTGCCTTCTTGGGTCCTCCAGAGAGGAGGCTGCCCCACCCAACTGGCCAGGGCCCCAGTCACTGTCCCAGATACAACTCTTATGGGGGTCCCACCCTCCTTCACTGGGATTGGTCATTCGTGTGGGTGTACTCCTCCCTATTGGCGGGGGCCCCAGCCCTTGTCCTTGAGGGAACTCTCTACTGTTCATGGAGTCCCGCCCTCCTTCGCTGGGATTGGTCATTGGTCATGGTGCTCTCTTCCCTCATTGGCTGGGGCCCCAGCCATTGTCCTTGAGGGAAGTCTCTACCCTTCTTGCGTCCCGCTGTCCTACCCTGGGATTGGCCTCTAGGAACAGTGTGTTCTTCTCCATTGGTCAGTCATTACTGTTGTCCTCAGGAACCTGGCCGTGCTCTTTTCAGTGAGGACCAGGCTTGGAGCTGCTGTCTTCAAGGCCCAGGAATGGGTTTGGGCTGGGGGAACGGAACATGGGAATAGGATCCACCTTATTCAGGCTGTATTCCTTTTCCTTCTGCCTTTCAGGGTGACTCTGGGGGACCCCTGGTGTGTGGAGGAGTCCTTCAGGGTCTGGTGTCCTGGGGGGCCACGGAGCCTTGTGGGCAAAAGGGCATCCCAGGCGTCTACACCAATATTTGCAAATATGTGGACTGGATCCGGACGGTCATGAGCAACAACTGACCTACTCCCTCCACCTCTACCCCTCGGCTTGGGGGCCACTCTGACCCTCAGAACACCAAAACCTCCTCCATCACCACCCCCAGCTTCCACTCTTCTTGCTCTGGCGATCTTCTTCCTGGAACTCCAACTCCAGCCTTCTAAGACCAGTGGTTTGGGAAGGAGGAACTGTGTAACTATCTGGAATAAATATAATATAACTAGAGGAGGGGATATGTCTGTCTATTTAACGTCCCCAGGCTGGTTAGACTGGAGTCTCATTTTCCCTACCTACAGGTGTAGAAATAGAGATCAGAGAGGGTGGGAATTTTCCCTCAGGGGTCACACAGGAATGGAGTAGAAAAAGTTACTTATGAAAATAAAAATAAGGGCCATTTTTCTCCACCCAGCACAATAGGAACAGTGCCCAGAGCATATAAGCTTTTAAAGGACCCAGGAAGAATCTGAAAACAGTGAGGGCGGGGACCGGGAATGGTTGGCTTCAAAATACCAGGTAAAAACTGTGAAATCAAAATTCACAACCATTTAATTAAATGTCTATCAAGCATAACATTCTTCCAACTAGCCAGTTGCAACATGGCTCTGTGGAGTTGAGCACACATCATATTTCACACAAGATGTGGGTTTGTCTTCCTGTATCGGCAGTGACAGATGGTGGGGTGCAGCCTTGGAAAGCAGGATGACCCAGCCTAGGTCTTAAAATAGTCCTGCCCGCTCCTTGGGTTCTGTCTTCACCGCCTCTCCAGGAGGTGGAAAGAGAAGTTCTTCACCCCTATGAATGGAAGGGGAATTGGAGGTGGGAGTAAGTGAACGACATTCCCATCACCACAGCCATAGGAACATTTGCTGAGCACCTTCTGCACTTGGCTCTGTTGAAGTCCCCATCCCAACCCCCCAGAGGCAGGGCTGTCCCCCCCCCCCCCCATCTCACAGATGAAGAAACTGAGCCTCATCAGGGTGGAGTCCCTTGTCCCACGTCACTGTAGTAGGAAGAGGCAGAGCCGAGGTTTGGGGCCAGGGCTGGCTGCTCACAGAACTCAGGTCTATCCAGCAGTCTTACTCCACATTTGGTTAGGGGAGAGAAGAGGGCAAGACCAAGGCAGGAGGTCTAATTGATAACAAGCGAGCCAGGAGAAGTGGGGATCGTCACTCAAACTGAGGAGGCTCAGAGTGGAGAAGTCATTGGACCTAGGTCACACAGCGAGTAAGTGCCAAGGCTGGAATCGGAGGACCCCGGGGTTCCCGGTGGCCTGGGAGGCGGGGAAAGTGGAGCAGAGGGAAGGGTTGGTAGAGGAGTGAGCCCTGGGGGTTGGGGCACCCGCAAAGGGCTGATTTCCCTTTCCTGGGCCTTGACTCCCACAGGCCCTGACCTGTCTCCCCCACCCTTCTGTCCTGCCCCTTCGCCTGCCGGGCAGCAGCCCCACCTCTGCGACGCCCCAGCTTCCCCCCTTTCTTGGAACAGAGAAGGGAGGGGCCCCACAGCGGAGGCCAGGGGCCCACCTGGGGTCAGGCAGTGGAGAGGGAGAGCAGAGACGGGGGGAGAAACAAAGACTGGGAAACGAGGTGGAGGGAGAATGATTAGAGACAGAGACACAACAAAGATATAAAGAACTAGAGGAGACATCCAGGGAGAGACTGGGAGAGAAAAGCAGAGAGACAAAGACAGACAGAAAAAGGCACAGAGACAGAAAGAGAAAAGTGACACACAGAGAATTCCAGAAAGGCAGCGAACGACAGATAAAGCCAGATTCGGGAGAGACAGGGAAGAGAGTGGACAGACAGAAGGACGGACACAGAGGCATGGAGAAACGGAGAGAAGCAGAGGGAAGAGGGGCTTGGAGAGGTGGCAGAGGTAGGCAGGCGGGCGGGCAGCACCTCCTCCAGGCCCACCCCCACACACTCCCCACCCCCCGGGCGACAAGGCTGGGCAAGGAGGCTCAGTCATCCTGGGCCCGCCCGGGGCCACCCCCCTCCTGCCCGCCTGCCTGGTGCCTCGCACGCTCCGACTCAGCCTGCCGCAGCTGCCACGGGCACCAGCCCCCAGAGCCCCAGCCCCAGAGCCTGTGAGTCTGGAAGAGGGAAGGGAAGGGACGGTCCCCTCCATGTGCCTGCATCCAAGGGCACCAAACCTCCTCGGCCTCAGCATCGTATCCTCCTCTGCTCTGTCCTTCTCGGCTTGGGTTGGGGCTCTCTGCCTCTCTTTGGGTCTCCAACGGGCTGCCTCCAACCTCAGTGACCTCTGACCCCCAGCTTAGGTCACTGAGTCCAGTCTGCTGCTCCCCCACCCTCCCTCCCACCACTGGCCAGGGCAGCTGTGGGCACTGGCTCTTCCCCTCACCAGCCCCGCCCAGCTCTGTCCGTCTGTCCTTCAAAGGGGCAGGGGTTCAGCAGGGCGAGGGACAGACACCATCCCAGGCTGAGCCCTCTACTGTACCCTGGGCTGCCCTCAAAGGGCCCGAGTCACCCTGGATGGCTGCAGAACGGCACCGGTCCCCTTCAGCTCCCCTCCCCCAAGCTACTGGGGCCTGGCCCAGCCTCAGGTGGGAAAGAAGGAAAACATTCTCTAAAATGCACCTCAGAGGGTCCCTGGCTGACTTAAAACGGGGCCTGTCTACCACTTGTCAAAGGCCAAGCCCCTCTCAGTAGCTGCCACATACTCTGGGGCTACTGGAAGCTTCCAGCGGAGATCAGGCCCCTCCAAGGCCACCCTCCATGGCAAAGATTTATTTTAAAGGTTTGGAGGTTGGGGTGTTGTGAGAATTAGGAGATTCCTCAAACCCTGGGGGAGCCAGAGCAGGCCAGGGAGAGAGGGGAGGGTGCGAACCAGCCCCCAGTCTCCCCCATAAAGTGATTTGGCCCCTTGTCCCTCCTTGTTCCCAGAAGAACCTGGGGCCTGCCCTTCCCCCACTCTGAGCCATGACGATTCTGCGATTAATCATGCTGGCTCTGGTGACAGGTACAGTGGGGGATGGGGAGGGGCAGGGGTCTCCCTCTGGAATCTCCAGGATCCACCACCCTCTGTGTCTGGACATTGAGAGGGCTGGTATTCAAAATACAGAATAACTCACAGGGCATCTCAACAGATACGTGAGCCATAATGAGCTCCTGGATGCTCCTCGCTGGACCAGGTGTAATGCCTTTAGATGCGAGAATGGGGAGAGGTCAAGGAAGTTCCCATGGGAGGGGCCAGGGCTGCTGGGGTGGTGTGGGGGACACTCAAAGAGCTCAGGAGATACTGACCAACCAGTATGGAGGGATTTCAATCGTTTAACACCATTTGCACCATTTGGTGCATCCCAGCCAGACACCAGGCTGGGACCCAGACCACTCACTCCTTCCCTCTCCTCCTTGCCTCCACTTCTGGGAGTCCTCTCATGCCTGAGCCCCCTCTTTTGCCCTCACCCCCTCCAGGGCATGTAGGGGGAGAGACCAGGATCATCAAAGGGTACGAGTGCTCTCCTCATTCCCAGCCCTGGCAGGTGGCTCTGTTCCAGAAGACGCGGCTGCTCTGTGGGGCAACCCTCATCGCTCCCAAATGGCTCCTGACAGCAGCCCACTGCCGCAAGCCGTGGGTGCGGGGGCTGGGGTGGGGCCGGGAGGGGGCTGGAAATGGAGAGGTGGATGGAGGGGAGCTTGGGGATGGGGAGAATGTGTATGGGGTCAGAGATGGGCATGGGGTGGGGAAGGCAGGGTTGGAGATGGGCACAGGTGGGGGCATTAGCACTGATGATGGAAATTGGGTTGTAATTGAAGATGGAGTGATGGAAGACGTTGGAACTGGGATGGTCTTGGGAATGGGATTGGGTTATGGTTTGGAACGCGACTTTGTTGGGAGGTGGGGATGAGGCTGGAAGTGGACCTGTGGTCTTTCATTCTCTCAGGTGCACCCATCTCTCCCCCACCACCTGTGTTTCTCCCCACCTCCTGCCTCTCCCTACCCTTCCATCTCTGACCACCATCTCTCTCACCTCAGCCGATACATAGTTCACCTGGGGGAGCACAACCTCCAGCGGCAGGATGGCTCTGAGCAGACCCGAACAGCCACTGAGTCCTTCCCCCACCCAGAGTTCAACTACAGCCTCCCCAACAAAGACCACCGCAATGACATCATGCTGGTGAAGATGGCATCACCAGCCATGATCACTTGGGCTGTGCGACCCCTCACTCTGTCATCACGCTGTGTCACTCCTGGCACCCAATGCCTCATTTCCGGCTGGGGGACCACATCCAGCCCCCAGTGTAGGGGCTCTAGAGGGGAACATGGTTGAGGGAGGGTGGTCATGATTGTGGAAGGACATAGGGAACCAGAGGACCCATCAAAGATGAGAGTCAGCGATACAAGAGGGGGCTAGCTGGAGGTATCAGTGGTGGGATAAGTCAAAAGGAAGAGTGGGAAAATAAGGGCTGGGGAGGGTAGAGACAGAAATCTGGGCTTTGGAGTCAGACAGACAAGATGTGCCATCTCAGATCCACAACCTGCCAGTTGTAGGACCTTAGGCAAGTGGCTTCACCTCTCTGAACTTTGGTTTTCTGCTCTATAAAATGAGAATAATCACATCCACCTACCAGGGCTGGATTAGAGACAAGGAATATAGAGCAACTAGCATAAAGAATTTACTCGATAGCATTGCTGTTGCTCTTGTTACAAGCAGAGAGATGAGTTGGCTGCAAGCAAGAAGGACAGGGACTAGATTCAGAGCAAGGGCTCTGGTGTGGGTGCAGAGCAAGGTCCCTGGGTTCAGAGCAAACTTTGCAGTGTGGGGAAGGGAGCCAGGGGGCTCTCATTTTCCACACCGCTTCGTGCCATTTCCACAGTGCACCTGCCCCATACCTTGCGATGTGCCAACATCACCATCATCGAGCACAAGGAGTGTGAGAAGGCCTACCCCGGCGACATCACAGACACCATGGTGTGTGCCAGCGTTCAAGAAGAGGGCAAGGACTCCTGCCAGGTCAGAGGGAAGGGCCTGGGTCTCCAACCACATCCCCATCCCCACCTCCAAGCCCCATTGCGTCTCCTTCTACACCCACAGTCTCATCCTCAACCTTAACCCCCATCTCCTCCTGCAACGCCAAATCCATCTCCACCGCCAGTTCCCGTTTCTAACCTCAACACAATCCAATGGCTCCATTCCCACCCCCATGTCCAACCTCAACCATCCCCAAATCCATTTTCATCCCTAGCCCCATCTTTGTTCCCACCCACAACTCCAACTCATCCCCAGTCCCATTGCCAACCCCACCCTCAACCTTTGCCCCAATCCCAGAGCCGTCCTCACCTCCTCCCTAACACCACGCCCAACCCCTTCCTCTCTCCTGGCGGCCTCTCCTCCTCTCTGACTGGTTCTCTCTCCTCCCATCCCCAGGGCGACTCTGGGGGCCCTCTGGTCTGTAACGGATCTCTTCAAGGCATTATCTCCTGGGGCCAGGATCCATGTGCTGTCTCCAGAAAGCCTGGTGTCTATACAAAGGTCTGCAAATATGTGGACTGGATCCAGGAGACTATGCAGAACAATTAGCAGGACAAATTGACCCCAGCCCCAAACCCCCGACCCCTACTTGGTGCTGTGGTTCCTGTTCATTCAGCTAATAATAAAGCAGCCTAAGCCAGGACTCCTTTATGTGCTTTCTCTGGATCTCCTTGACTACAAGAGATGCTATAGCTTAATAATCAATTTGGGGTTTGGAATTAGCAAAGCCTAGGTTCAAATTCTGCCTTGTACTAACTTGTCACTCTGGGAGTGATAATAGCTATTTGGGTCACTGTTGTATCCCCAGCCGCAAAGACGGTTCCTGGCACTCACCAAGGTTTCAATAAATATTTACCGAATGAATGAATCTTTTGGGTGCTTCCCAGATGCCAGGTCCTCGTCCAAAGGCTTTTAAATGTATGAACTAACTTAATCTTCACAAAACCCTATGAGGTCGGTGCTACTATTATACCTGTTCTGCAGACAAGGAAACTGAGGCACAGAGAAATGCAGTCCCTTGCTCCTGGTCACACAGCCAGTAAGCAGAAGAGCACAGAAGAGCAGGGAATCTGAAGCAAGATGACTTCTTAAGTACTGAGCAACACTGCCTTGATGAAGGCTCAACTTCCTTCTCTGTAAAATCGTGCATGCAAAAGTATGATAGCACAGCTAGTAAGCCAGCCTGCAGATAGTTAAGACCTAACAAAAAAAGAGCTATTGTTTTGTTTCCAAACTCCAAGATAGGTAGTTGCTTCATCGAGACCCATGCCTGGCCAAGATGGTAGCTGCTAACCCCACGTGCCTATTTACATTAAAATTACATACAATCAGAAGTGGAATTCTTCAGTCCCACTTGCCACGTATCAAATGTGCTATAGCCAATGTGACTGACAGCTGCCATGGTGGACAGCACATACTGAGCATTCCCACCGCTGCAGAAAGTTCCATGGGACAGCCACTGGAATTAACTCACTTCTCACTGAGGAAGATGCCCCACAGACAGTCTAGAACTCAGGATCTTTTTTTGATGTCTGGCTCACCTAGCAGGGGAGGTGGCTGGCCTGAGGAGCAAGAGCCCAGAGCTGGAACTGGGGCCTCCAGTTTTTAGCCAGGCGTGCTGTGTGACCTCCTGTGAGTCACTGCCCTCTCTGAGCCTCCCATTCCTCCCTTGAAATGAGGGAGTTGGCCCAGGTGATGCTGATGCCCCTTGCGGCCTCCTGTGATTCACGGGACTGTGTGTCACCTGGCGGCGACACGCAGAAGGCAGGGGGGATGTGAAGCGACCACACACAGGCATGATCGGAGACTCCCCCAACACACACTGGGGGCTAGTCACCGGGACACACTGAGCTGCCTCAAGCACAGAGCATCCCTCTGGGTTTGCATCTCTCCCTTTCTGTCTCCCTGTTTCCCTCTTCTCCTGTTTCTGTGTGTCTCAGTCTCTGTCGCTCCCACTCTTTCCTTCAATCTATCTTATCTTCCTGCCTCCCTCTCTCATCAGCCTTCTGGTTTTAGTCACTATGTCATTCTAGGTATGCAATTCCCTGTTTATTTATTTTTCTCTCTCTGGATCAGGTTCACCTAACACAACACTATCCCCACGACCCCCAGGCCCCCTGGGGATGGGGCGCCCTCTCTCCCCTTCTGGGAAGACTTCTTGGAACAGGAAACCTGGGGAATCCGCATGGAATCCAGTTCCAAAAAAGGGTGTTTCGGGCACTGGGAGAAGCCTGTATTCCGGGGGCCCCTCCCAGAGCAGGAATCTGGGGCCCAGGTTGGGTGCCAGCCCCACCCACGGCCTAATTAGGGAGAGAGAAAGGGAGGGGGTGAGGCCCTGGGGGGAAGGTGGAGAAGTTTCCGGACTCTCTCGGGGTTAAAAGGGAAGGCCTAGCCAGGGGTCTCTGGGCAGAGGCTTCGGCGGCCCACGCGGCAGGGCGGAGGTACTTCTGGGTCTCGTTGCTGCTTCCCCTTGGGACTCCCAGGTGAGGCGAGATGCATCCCACCCCGGTGGGGGCGGGTCGCGAGAGCAAGGGTGGGGACCCTCGGGCAGAACCCCGCCTTGAGCCTCGGTTTCCGTCTGCTGGACGCGCCTCTGAGCCTCGGACCCCAACCCCACCAGAGAAGGAGGGCGAAACCCAACGCGCGGGGACAGCCCCGCCGGGAGAGCGCTCCCCTCGGGCGTAGGGAGGGCAGGAGGACGCCACTAGGGACGTCATTAGGGTAATTGCGCCCATTGCAGCTGATCTGGTCCGAATAGCCCGCCTGCCAGTCCCTGCGATGGTCGGCTGCAGTCAAACGGGTCCCCGCGGGCTGGGGTGGCCCAGGCTGGGCGGACGGGCGCGGTGGGGTGGCGGTCTCTGACAGGACATGTGTTTTGAACCGCCCCCGGCCCCCCAACCTAGGTCCTGGCCATGAAATCCCCGCACCTCCACCTCTCCGCCGCCTCGGGCACCCGGGCCCTGGCGCAGCTGCTGCTGCCGCTGCTGACTGCGCAACTCTGGGGTGAGGCGGGAGGCAGGGCTTGGCGGGAGGCGCTGGGGCCCCGGGGCGATGGGAGAGTGTGCTCTTGTCACCAACCCTAGCGCACCTCTCCACTCGTTGGGACCCCAGCATCCACCCACCGATCGGGAGCACCCCCCAACCCCGTCAGCCCCGCCCCTTCTGGCCCCGCCCCTGGATGTCCAGCTCCATCCAGGCACCGCCCGTTTACTCCACCTGGATCCCGACTCCCCCTTTTTCCTTGCGGCGTCCTTTCCCTGCCCCTTACTCCACCCATTCTGTCCTGGCCCCTTCTCACTGCGCCCTATTTTATCCCAAGTCTTGCTCTGTCGCTTTTTGCCCTCACTCCCTTTTCTAGCTCCTGGCGTTATTCCCATCCTTACTCTCACCCTGCGACGTGTTGTATCCCCGCCCCTTGCCGCTCCGCCACCTTCTATCCCCGCCTCCTGGCCCCTCTGCCGCGTTCCAGCCCCGCCCCTTGTGGCCCCGCCCCGTTGTAGCTCCGCCCCCTGGTCGTCCCCCCCCCCCCCCCCGCCGCGTGCTCTCTCTGTCCCCTGTGTTGCATTCTGTCCTTGCTCCTCCGCATCCAGCCCGTCCGCTCTCCTCCTCCGCTCGGCCGTACACCCGCCTCCTCTCCCTTTCACGCCGGTTCCTCACCGCCCACTTCCACTCGGTTCATGCACAACCCCCGATTTCCACGCCCTCCCCACGGTGTTGGCTGCGTCCCCCGAAGCCGCCTCCCATGGCCCCGCTCAGACCCCAAACCCAGCCTCTGCCCTGCTCTGATCTCCACCCCCTTTCTTCCTCCAGCCGCGGAGGCGTTGCTGCTCCCCGGGAACGACACGGGCTCGGACCCCGTGGCCTCCGGCGCCCCTTGCGCGCGCGGCTCGCAGCCCTGGCAGGTCTCCCTGTTCAATGGTCTCTCATTCCACTGCGCGGGCGTCCTGGTGGACAAGAGTTGGGTGCTCACGGCCGCGCACTGCGGGACCAACAAGTAGGGGGAGCTCCTCGGGGACGCGACGGGTTGGCTGGGGTGGCAGACCCCGGGAAGGGGGCGGGAAGGGCTGGGGCACTTGAGGGTATGGAGCTCTCCTAGTTCGACATGGGGGTCAGTCCTGGAGTGCTTCCCGTAGGAGGAGAGATGGGGTTGTGCTGTGGCCACCAGGGGGCGATGTGGTCCTTCTCAGCGTTTCTCGGCCCAGCCATCACCCCGTCCAGCTGATTCTCGTTTGGGTGTAGGTAGCTGTCAGGGTCTCGTGTGGTTAGGAATTTAGAACTAAAAAAAATTGTTCCCCTCCTGAGTCCCGATTAGGCGAGGAATGAAGGGGCAGGTTTACACAGGTAGACCCCCCCCAGCCCTCAATTCCTGCAGAACTCAGGGACGCAAACACCTGATTGCTTCTTCCCATGTCTCAAGAATTTAGGTTCCAAGCTCTCTTCTACCCCACTCACTTCTCCCTCAGACCCAGGTGTCCAGGCCCCCAGCCCCTCCTCCCTCAGACCCGGGAGTCCAGCTCCCAGCCCCTCCTCCCTCAGACCCGGGAGTCCAGCTCCAGCCCCTCCTCCCTCAGACCCGGGAGTCCAGACCCCAGCCCCTCCTCCCTCAGAACCAGGGGTCCAGGCCCCCAGCCTGCTCCCTGTCCCCTCCTTCCCAGAAACTCAGAGTCCATCCCAGTCCCTACAAAGGCTTTGCCTCCATATGTCTCTCCCCTCCTCAGGCCGCTGTGGGCTCGAATAGGGGACGACCACCTGCTGCTTCTCCAGGGTGAGCAGCTCCGCCGGACCACTCGCCCTATTGTCCACCATAAGTACCACCAGGGCTCAGGCCCCATCCTGCCGAGGCGGACAGACGAGCATGACCTCATGCTGCTGAAGCTGGCAAGGCCTGCTGTGCTGGGGACTCGCATCCAGACCCTCCGCCTGCCCTACCGCTGTGCCCAGCCCGGTGACAGGTGCCAGGTTGCTGGCTGGGGCACCACGGCCGCCCGAAGAGGCAAGAACTGGGGGCCCTGAGACCTGTATCTCGGGGAAAGAGGCTGCGGGCCAGGACTCCTGGGTCTGAGGGAGGAGGGGCTGGGGGCCCGGACTCCTGGGTCTGAGGGAGGAGGGGCTGGTGCTGGACTCCTGGGTCTGAGGGAGGAGGGGCTGGGGGCACAGCCTCCTGTGTCTGAGGGAGGAGGGGCTGGGGGCCTGGACTCCCGGGTCTGGGGAAGGATGGCACCTGGGTCCTTGAGGATGGGGGGCTGGACCCTGGAATGACCAGGTGTTTTCTCCCGTCAGTGAAGTACAACAAGGGCCTGAGCTGCTCCAGGGTCACTATCCTGAGTCCTAAGGAGTGTGAGGTCTTCTACCCTGGTGTGGTCACCAGCAACATGATATGTGCAGGGCTGGACCAGGGCCAGGACCCCTGCCAGGTAGGGACTGGCCAAGGAGGGTCACTGACTCATGGCGGGGAGGATAGGGAGGTTATGGGAAAACAGAAGTCCCCAACCCCATAGCCACCCCCAGCACGAAGTCCTCCCTATGTCCAGCACGACCACATCGCTACCCCAACTCTAACCCCATGTCCAGCGCTACCTCCTCGAGTCCATCTTCTCCCGCCCCACCCGGTTCCCAGCTCCATTCCCAAGGCCGTCCCCAGCCCTTCCCACTCCATCCTCCACCGCATTCCCGTCCTCAAGCCATTCCTAAACCCCTCCCCCATCCCTATCTTTAGATCCATCCCCATCCCTTTACCTATAAGGAGCTACAAATCCCAGCTCTGCCGCGTCTCCACCCTCATCCCCCCGACCCAATGCCCATAACCCCAAGTTCCGCTCCATCCCCACCCCCCCTACCCCCCATACCTAGTTCCAACCCCACCCCCACCTCATCTTTATCCCAGCCCGGCTCCAACCCTCCCTAGCCCCGTCCTCCCTCTCACGACCAGACCACCAAGTGACAGCCCTTGCTTTGATGTATTTATTTCTCTTTCCTCCCGCCCCAGAGTGACTCCGGTGGCCCTCTGGTCTGCGACGAGACCCTGCAGGGCACCCTTTCGTGGGGCATCTACCCGTGTGGCTCTGCTCAGCACCCAGCTGTCTACACTCAGATCTGCAAATACACCTCCTGGATAGAGAAAACCATACGTTCCAACTGACCCAGAGGCCTGGCAACTCTGCCCTCTTCCTCGTTCCTCCACGGTCGACTGGACTCTGCCCCTGCCCCACGCAAACCTCGGCTGTCCGTCCGCACCTGCTACCATTCTCCCCCGCCCTGCCCACTGCTGTTCTCTGCCAGCATTCAAGCCAAAGTGCAGAGAGTGTTGGCAAAATTTTGTTCAAGAGAAACGAGGAAGCCGGTAGTCACTCAGTCTCCGAGAGAAGTTCTCCGTCCCCCAACCAGGCTTCCTCTACCACTCCCTGCTGTGTGACCTTGGGCAAGCCAAGTACCCTCTCTGGGCCTGGGCTTCCTCACCTGGAATATGGGGATAATGGACATCTCCTCATAGATGTGTTGTGAGGAGACTATGATATCCTGTGTGTGCGTAGATCCTCACGTAACTATCAGTAAAGCATTAACCCAGTGGGCGGTGAGCTCTGACTAAGTGTTACCTGTTGTCATGATCTGTGAACAGGTCCTGGTGTGTGACTCTGTGTCCTGGGGAGAAAAGCACAGGGGTAGCTCCCAAGCCCAATCCCCCACCCCACCCGAGACACCATCCCCACCTCCATCTCTCGGGGCCGATGGGAGAAGCACATCCTCCACCCTCCTCTAAAGTTCCATGGGGTACCTCTTCACTACTTCCTTCTTCCTTCCCACCGTTTCCCATGTCTGAGTCCACCCAACACCAGCTCTTCCTGTCCGAGAGCTGGGCCGCCTCTGAGTCATCTGGTACCTTCTCTGACTTCCTGGGGCCCCTGGAACCCGAGGGACCTCGCCCTGCCTCCATCCCAGCCTCTAAGACCAGAGGAACGCTCCCCACCTCGGGTGCCAAGCTCATGCAAAGGAGCCCTCTGACATTTAGGGGAAATTTTTTGCTTTGTCGGATCCGTCTCCATCATCACTTCACCTCCCACGAGCTACAGTCCCGGCTCCACCACGTCACGTTCATCCCCGAGTCCAACATCCATGACCCCAGGTCCAATTCCATCCCCATCCCCGTCCCCGACCCCGTCCCCATCCCAAATGGGGCTTTGAGATTTTGCCCTGAAAATTTGGGAGGAGGGATTTTTCTCCTCTCCCTGAAATTGCCTTGGTGTGAATATTCCCGTGCTGGGGGGCGTTATAGACGAATCCAGGCGAAGCTCGCAGATGTTTGGGTCTCTCTGCTTAGCCTGGCCTTTGGAGCGCTACATAAGCAGAACGTTTGCACGACAGAAATTTCCCAGCGGGCCCTGGTTGTTTTTGCGTCCCCCTGTCAAATGAGGACTTACTGAGCGCCTACTATATGGCGGGCCCGGAAGGCAGTGGTGACCACAAATGTCCTGCCCTCACGGAGCCCGCGGAAGATGGTCAGAGCGCAGAGTCTACAGAGCGCCCTTCCATTGCCTCCCCCCCCACCCCCGCATTAGCACACCCAGGAAACGTCAATCAGGCATATCAGCTGAGTTTGTCACGCCGGGATTGGAAGCACAGTAGGTGGGAACGCAAAAACTCCGATTCCTTTTTCAAGGCAATTTGCTCGTTCCTTTAGTCATGCCACAAGTGTTTATGGAGCCTATGCCAGGTCCACGAGATGAATCAGACCGGGCCCTACCCTCAAGGAGCTACCAGTCAGGCCAGGGAGACAGGCAAGCCTTACATTCTTGTCATTCAGGTCTCCACTCAAAGGTCACCTCCTCAAGGAGGCCTTCCAGGATTGCCCTGCATAAAGGGATCCCTCTGCCACCCCGGGGTCACCAATCTGTTGCTTATTTTATTTTATTTTTTTTGCTGGGAAAGATTGACTCTGAACTAACATCTGTTGCCAATCTTGCTCTCTCTTTTGTGTTTCCCTCCCCAAAACCCCAGTGCATAGTTGTATATTCTAGATGTAGGTCCTTCTAGTTCTTCTATGTGAGACGCTGCCACCGCATGGCTACTGACAGGCGAGTGGTGGGGTTCTGTGCCCGGGAACCAAACCGAGAATGCCACTAGGCCGTGAGGGCTGGCTCCCATTGTTTTTTTATTTCCTTTACAGCACTGTTATAGCTGAAATAATCTCATTTATTTGCTTACTCCACCATGATCTGTCCCCTCTCTCTCTTGACCCAGTCCGTGAGGGCAGGGACTCTGATTTATTCACGGTGGTTTTCTAAGCACCTGCTATGGTGCCTGGTGCAAAGAAGCCACTCAACACATTGTTAAATTAACGAATAATCCAAATCGATCATCACCGTAACAGAAGGAGGCATGGGGCACCCCAAGGCTGGGCCAAGGAGTCAGGGAAGGTTTCTCAGATGAGGGGACACTCGCATGGGGTTCTAAAGGATACACAGGAGTTCACCAGGTAGAGAAGGAAATGCATTTCTGTCACTTACTCTGCGACCTTGAGCAAATTACTTGAATGCTCTCTACAGCAGTTGTCCCCTCTGTGAAGCAGAAATGGATTAGAGGCTCATGAGAATTAAATGAGATAATACGCACAAAACACTTACCAAACTGCCAGACACAGAGTGAACAGCCAATAAGGACAGCTTTCAAGATGTTCTTAAAGCAGTTACCATGGCACTCAACACATAGTGGGTATTCAGTTCCTGGTCTCAAAGAAGTCCCTTCTAGAGACGGTGTAAGACAAGTGTAGCCGTGGGTGACGTGTATTGTGTCGGAGGCAGTAGAGAGCTCTGAAGGAGACGGATAAACGTATTATATTTATTAAATGCTTACCGTGTGCCAGGGACTGTCGTGCTTCACATGTGTTAATTCATGTAACCCCCCTACAGTCCTGATTACTATTGCTACTTAATAGATGGAGCAACTGAGAGAGACCCAATGACTTGCGCAAGGTCACACCTAACAATTGCCCATGTTGAAATTTGGATCCAGGTGGTTCAGGTCTAGAGTCCTTGTTCCAACCACTAACCAGAGCAAGGAGGCATTCAAGGGGAGCCCAGATCCAGCTTGATCATCAGACTTGTGACAACAGAAAGCAGAAGAGGCTGTGGATGCCCAGAGGAAGGAAAAGATGGACTCTGCCTGGAGAAATCGGAGAGGACTTCCTGGAGGAGGGGGCATTTAGGTTGGGTCCTGAAGGATGAGCAGGTGTTCACCAGGAAAAGAAGGATATAGAGAAAGACATTCACTCATTCAATTAACATCTCCTGAGGATTCCCATGAGCCCAGCCCTGAACTGGGTGATGGCTGGGGACACCAAGATGAGTCAGACCTAGGCTTGGCCCTCCAGGGGGCTGCCACCCGGTAAGAAGGAAGGATGGAGAGAGAGACAGGAAGGGTGGGGTGACGGGAAGGACAATGGAGGGGAAATGGGTGAGAAAAAAAGAAGACGATGTTGGGAGGACTCAGGCACGATCTAGTGGTATTAAAAGAAATGGAAAAGTACTATATTCCAGTTAGCTTGGGCACCTGAGTCCTTGGAGTAGTGGCGATGTGATGAAAGGGGTAGCTATGGCAAAAGTGGTTCATGCAGTGGGGACCGTATTTCCCAACCTCCTAGGAGAGACCTATCATACTTGTGGGAAGGGGCCCACACCCCCAGAGCAAGGAGTGCTCTGTGGGATGTGTACACATGCGCAGCTGTCTTGTGGTCTCTCTCTCTCCCCTCTCGCCCCAGATCCTTCTGTGTCTCTATCATCCTTTTTTTTTTTTTTCCTTTCTCTCTCTTTCCCCTCCCCACCCCCATCCTGTCTGCCTTCTTCCCTCGGAGTCCTGGTTCTTTCTCCCACCCCTAGCTTGATTTCTGCAAGGTCCTCCTGCACATCCCTCCAGCTTGCCCTGCACCTTAGTCCCAGCTCTCCACAGCTTCATTCAAGATAAATTTGCTTTCACCCCAAGACCCCACCTCCTCTCCTTCTTTCTTCCTCCTCCCAGCCACAGAACATCCTGGATCCAGATTCTGTATCCGGAGGTCAGGGGGGAATGAGGGCAACGCTTCCTGGAGACCCTCTGGAGGACTCCGCTTCCCAGGGCCCCTCCCCCATTTAGCCAAGCCCGCACCTAGCAGGTCACCCCCTCATCAGGACAGGGTGTCCCCCTGTGCTTCCTCCCTTTCCAAGGCCCCCAGTCAAGGTCCCGGGCTTCCCCCTCCCCCCCATGACATTTCTCAATCCAGATTAATCACGGGGCGGCCCCAGGGAGGAGGAAGGAGATGGGAGATGGCATGGCTTACCATAAAGAAGCAGGGACGCCCGAGCACAGGGTCGAGGACCCAGGCACCCGGAGGTCATGAAGCTGGGATTCATCTGTGCTCTGCTTTCTGTGCTAGCAGGTGAGGGTCCAGCCTTCCATCCGACTGCCCCTCCGTGGTCCTGGGCGCCCACCCATCCTGCCCTTTGCTCCTGCCCTCTATACATCTCAGCATCTCTCCCCAGCCCTCCCATCTTGCTCTTCATTGATCCCTCTGTCCCCCACCCTAACCCCAGGGCACGGCTGGGCAGACACACGAGCCGTCGGGGCCCAGGAATGCCGCCCCAACTCGCAGCCCTGGCAGGCAGGCCTCTTCTTCCTCACCCGCCTCTTCTGTGGGGCGTCCCTCATCAGTGACCGCTGGCTGCTCACAGCCGCCCACTGCCGGAAGCCGTGAGTGACCCGGGTGGGCCATTCTGGGGAAGGGGCTGGGGGTCAGGAAAGCGTGAGGGGCAAGGGGCCTCCGGTAGAGAAGGGAGGGAGCTGTCGGCAGGAAAGGCTGAGCCTCCATTTCTGTTGCCGAAAAGTTCAACTCTTAGAATTATAGAGACTCCACTCTCCTCCTTTTGGAATCCTAAAATATCTGGCTCTAAGAATCTAAAGATTCAAAACTCATACTCTTAGAATCCTAGACTCTGACCCAGAGAAATCCAGAATCGTAGACTCCTAGAAGCTTGGATCCACGAGACTCTACACCAGCTTCTGTGAATTCTAGAACCATGGATTAGAGACTATTAGAATCTTAGAAGTCCAGACCAGGGCTGCCCAAAGGAAATATAATGCCAGCCACGTAGGTAAGTTAGCTTTCTAGAAGACACACGGAAAAGTCAAAAGGAAACAAGTGAGATGAATTTTAATAATAGATTTAATTTGACAGACTCAAGATATTATTTCAACATCTAATCAATTTTTCAATATTTGTGAATGACATAGTTTCCTCTTTTTTTTGTTCAAAGCCTTTGAAATCAGACATGCATTTCACATGTAAGGCACATCTTAATTTGGACTAGCCCCATTTCAAGTGCTCAGTAGCTGTATTGGACAGCACGATCCTAGAATCTTAGATTCCAGCTAGAATTCTAGAGTCTTCTAGCTAGGTTTATGGGCTACGGAAACTCATAGTCAGAGAATCTTTGATTTACGATATCCTAGATTTCTGTGACTTACAAAATTCTAGAATCTTGAGCTGAGAGAATTCTGGAAGCTTATATTCATAAATGTCTAGAATCTGGTGGATTTGCTATCCCAGAATGCTATCACTCAAGACTCTTCAAATCCCCAAAGTTTTCATTCAGAGAATTCTAGTCTCAAACTACTTGAATCCTAGATTCTCGTTTCTAAAATCATAGATTTATAAAATTTTGGAATACTGAAATTCTAGTCTTATTGTTCCAGAATATTAAAATTCTAGGCTCTTTAAATCCTAGATTTAATCCAGATCATTTAAAAATCCTAGAATTTTTTGATCCAGTGAAATCTGGAACATTAGAATCTTGGATTCATAACATTCTAGCACTTAAGCCTCATAGAATTCTAGAATCATGGATTCCTAGCGTGTTAGAATTTTAGATTCTAGGCATTCTAATAGAACCCTAGAATCTACCTGAGGCAGAAGTCTTTTCTACATTATCTCTGGCTGCCCAGCATGTTGTGTGGGAATTTCCCATCATGCATTCCTCCATGATGGGGCCTCTTTTAGCTCAGGTCTGTACATCAGGCTGGAAGAACAATGCACAGATTCCAGCCCCAAAGACAAAGAAGGAGAGAAGCTGAGATGTGGAGGGAGAAGAGACTCAGAGGCAGGGAAGAGTTGCGGTGGGGGGCTGGTTTCCTAGACACAGAGCCAAGGCAATGAGGTGACAGAGAGGGACAGAGATAAACATGACACCTCACGCTTCTCAAACCCTGGATTCTCACTCATTAGCCTGGCCCCTAGCATCAGAGGTCAGAGGCTGGGGGATGGACATGGAGACCCCTGAGGGTCCCCAGCCATCCAGGGCATGGACCCAAAGAAGAAGAAGTGGACTGGGACGGTGTGGAGAGTGCTTGAGGTTAGACCTCGGGAAGAAATGCATTGAGGGGTGAGGGATATGGCAGACAGGAAAAGCATGAGGCCACAGATGACCCCCAATTTGGGGATTTTCCATATGCCATCCTCCTCCATATGGACACATACACCAACACACACACAGAGCCACTCCCCAGGGAAGCCACTAGACCTGTGGAGGCAGGAGGTGGAGCTGTTGTTGTGTGATAAGTGGAACCCCCACATGCCTACATGGCTCCCAGGTACTAGGTCACCACCAAGGCCCCAGGTGGGGCAGCGAAGAAGATGGCTCACTCGTCATGCACCTAGGAAGGGGTATGAGGTTTCTGGGGAGAACTACAAAGGTAGAAGCAGACAAAGGGATGGAGTGGGGAGCAGAGGCCCAGAGAGGGTGTGTGCCCTGCTTAAAATCACACAGCACCCTGGGTCACATGTAAATGATGGGGGCCCAGAGAGGGGGTGTGGCTTGTGGAGGATTACACAGCAGCCTGGTGGACAGAAAAAGAGGACCCAGACTGTGAAGACCCCACATGTTCTCCCAGCTTGATCTCCGAGGCCTGTCTCAACAGATATCTGTGGGTCCGCCTCGGGGAGCATCATCTCTGGAAATGGGAAGGTCCAGAGCAGCTGTTCCGGGTCACTGACTTCTTCCCGCACCCTGGATTCAATGAGGACCTCAGTGCCAATGACCACAACGATGACATCATGCTGATCCGTCTGCCCAGGCAGGCACAACTGGGACCTGCTGTGCAACCCCTCAACCTCAGCCACACCTGTGTCTCTCCAGGCACCCAGTGTCTCATCTCAGGCTGGGGGGCCGTGTCCAGCCCCAAGGGTACAGTCTTGCCCACAACACACCCCTTTACATCTCAGGCTGAGGGTCTGAATCCCTCCTCTGTCTCTGTCTCTGCCTTTCCATCTCTGTCTCCTATCTATCTATCTATCTATCTATCTATCTATCCATCCATCCGTCGATCCATCTATTCCACCAAATCTAAGATGCCACGAATTATAAGATGCATCACCATTTTATGACCTGCTAGCAACAAGAACAACAAAAGGTCCCATTGAGGCTCGTATGACAGCATTTACTGGAAGACACCTCCGGATTTCAGAGATGTTTAAATGTGAAAACACACAGATCTTAGAATCAAAATAGGGTTACATGTCTCAGAATCACAAATCAGCAACTTATGAGCCAAATTTGGTTTCCCACATCAGTATCAGTTTTCAAAGTATCTTGAAAAAAAAAGTCTGAATTTGTAGCTGCCAACCTCTGACACCCACGAGATTTTACATAAAAGAAAAGTTTTTGGAGTCACTCGAAAAATTCAAAGAACTGTGTCCACTGGATCCACTTTCCCAAAATATGGACAATTGTTGAACAGAGTCAGTTGGGGCTGTCTAGTTTAGACAAGATACGGGTTCTCTGGCCCACCACAGTTTGCCCCACTGTCTGCTGTCTCCTTGCACAGTCCCCTCCACCCACTTCTGTTTACCGAACAAGCCCCTGGCTGCATCTGAATTTGCACCCAGATATTATATACATGGACCTATACAGATATATAGGCATCTGTATCTCTATTATATACACTGTATCTCCCTCTCTCTATCCGGCATCTCTGAATCTTTATCTGTATCTTTATCAATGACCAGAAACGTCTTCTCTACTTTATCACACTGCCTTCTCCCTTGGTTATTTCTGGGCCTATTTCTCCCTATTTCTTCATTGCTTCCTCTGAGAACCTTTTTCCCCTTAAGAGGTCTCTATCTCCCGCCACGGTCTCTGTTTTTCTCTGCATGAGTTACATATGTATCTCTTCTTGTCTCTTGGCTCTCGGCATCTCTCTCACTCTCCCTCTCTTTGGCCCTCTCCCCCTCCTCATATCCATCTATTTCTCTTTCACGCTGTGATTCTGTCTCTTTGCCTCCAACTCTCGTTTCTGTTTTTGAGAGTCTTACACTGTGGTTCTATGAGTCCTTCGGAAAGGGTGGGGGGGGACAGTGTGATGGGGACAGTTGCTGATCCTCTATGGATGAGTCTCTATCGCCAACAGTGCAGTACCCACTCACGTTGCAGTGTGCCAACATCAGCATCCTGGAGCGCAAACTCTGCCATCGGGCATATCCAGGCCACATCTCGGACAGCATGCTCTGTGCCGGCCTCTGGGAGGGGGGCCGGGGCTCCTGCCAGGTGAGACCTACTCTGGGGAGGAGGGAGATGGGTATCCTGCCAGGATTTCCGGGTCCTGTGGGAGAAGGGAGTTGGGGCCCCAGACTTCCTGGATCAAAGCAAGGTGGGAGCTGGGGCACCTGGGTCCTGGGAGAGGATGGGACCAGGGCCAGGATTTCTGGATCTAAAGGAGGAGGGGATTAGGGGTCCAGACTCTAAGTCCTGGAGGATGTGGGAGCTAGGAGCCCAGAGTGCTAGGTCCAGGGGTGAGGTGGGGCTATGAGCTGGTACTCCTGGGTCTGAGGGAGGAGGGACTGGAGACCGGGACATGGGGGTGTTGGGGGAGAGGATTCGGGTCTTCCTGCAGGGAGGAAGTGACCTGTGTACTGTCATGAATAGACCCACTTAACAGTTTCTCTGTTCTGTGCACAGGGTGACTCTGGGGGGCCCCTGGTTTGCGACGGAACCCTGGCGGGTGTGGTATCTGGGGGTGCCGAACCCTGCTCCAGACCCCGGCGCCCGGCCGTCTATACCAGCGTATGCCACTACGTGGACTGGATCCGAAAGACCATGGAGGACAACTGAGCCCTCGCTCTTTGCACTGACCGAGAGAGGAGGGTGGGCGCAGAGCCGGGAGGAACTGCAGGGCTCCAGCCTCAGTGGTCTCCGCTCTTGGCCTCAGTCGCCCTGGAGACGCCTTGCGGCCATTCGGGCTCGGCCCCCTCGGAATGGAGCAGGGAGACAGCTCCGCCCCTCGTGGCCCGGCGTCTAAGGTCACCAAGAACAGGCACCACCCGGGTGGAACAGCATCCCCTTGCGGCTCAGCCCAGGAGTGAAATCCACCAGATAGCTCCGCCCCTCAGAACTCCGTCCAATGAGACTTCCGCTCTGGACTCCACCCCTCTGTGGCCCCGCCCCTTCCACCCGAGACCCCCCCCCGTGTGACGTCAGGGGGCGGTACCTTCCACCCACGTGCAGCTCCCGCGGTGTCGGGCTCCGCCCCTCGTGGCCCCGCCCCAGGCGTGTCCTGGGTTTGAATTGTGGCGGGGACCCGACGGGGAGAAGGGTCTCGACCCCTTCAGATCCAATGGATGATTTTACAATAAACGCGCGGAGCCGCTCCTTTTGTCTCGTCGTGGAATGAGGGAAGGGCAACCGGTGGGCGGCGGAGGGCAGAGAGGGAACGGCCACCGCGCTGCAATTCCCCTTGAGCTCTTCGTAGGTCCCGCCTGAAGTCTGTCTCCATCAGCCCTATTGCATCAAGCCTCCTGGGATCTGCTCGGGCTGGTCCCGTCGCCCCCAGGGAAAGGGGCAATCAGGTCACGGTGCCTCCCAAACCTGCCTTCCCAGATCGCACATCTCTCAGGGGGCAGCGGGCGGGGCCCGATCCGCCCTCAGATGTCGGACTCGCCTTTCTTCCCTTCCAGGTTCCTGGCAGCAGCCCCCTCCTCCCACAAAAACCCAGGCTCCAAATCCCTCCTTCCAAAAAGACTTAAGAATTCAGCTGCCAGCCCCTCCTCCCTCAAGACCCAAGTTCAGGCCTCCAACATCCCCCTCCCCCAGACACAGGAGTCACCGCCCCCGAGGCGCTCCTCCTTCAGACACAGGAGTCACCTCCCCCAGCCCCTTCTCCCTCAGACCCTGGAGTCCAGGCCTCCAGCCCCTCCTCCCTCAGACCCAGGAGTCCAGGCCCCCAGCCCTCCTCCCTCAGACCCTGGAGTCCAGGCCTCCAGCCCCTCCTCCCTCGGACCCGGGAGTCCATCCCCCAGCCCCTCCTCCCTCAGACCCGGGAGTCCATCCCCCAGCCCCTCCTCCCTCAGACCCAGGAGTCCAGCTCCCAGCCCCTCCTCCCTCAGACCCAGGGGTCCATCCCCCAGCCCCTCCTCCCTCAGACCCAGAAGTCCAGGCCCCCAGCCCCTCCTCCCTCAAACCCAGATGTCCTGGCCCCCAGACCTTTCTGTCTCAGATCCAGGAGTTACAGCACTGAGCTCCTCCTCTCCCTTGCTTCCGAAGTCCCAGATTGCAGCCCCTCTTCCCTTAAGATGTCCCATTCAGCCCCTCACCCCTCCTCACTGATACCCAGGGTTCCAGTTCCCAGATGCTCCGCAGCCTCAGGAGCCACGGAGGCGGAGCAGGAGGCGGGGATTCCCAGATAAAAGGCTCCATAATCCTGTACCAGGCAGACAGCTGAAGTACTGGGGCCTCTTCCTCTGGGTCCGAGTCAGTAGGTGACCCTGCCCCCTGGATTCTGTAAGGTGAGATGCCGTCCTCAGACACAGGCATCATCCCGGGGGCCTCTCCTCCTCCAGGCCCCAGGACCTCAACCTCAGATCCCTTCCGCCTTCAAGACCCAGGAATCTGGGCCCCAGCCCCCTCCTCCTCAAGACTTAGGAGTCCCAGCTCCCAGTTCCCTCTTCCTTCAGACCCCAGAGACCAGGAGCCTCACTCCCTCCTCTAGTGGAACACAGGAATCTAGCCCCCCCCCAGAGCTCCGTTCCCTCAGACCCAAGAATCCAGGGCCCCAGTCCCCTCCTCCTGCAGGACCCAGAAGAACAGCTCCGGATGCTCTCCTCCCTCCCCAATCCCAAAGTCCCGCTCCCCCATCCTCGTGACTCAGCCCCACCCTCTTCCTTTCCCAGACTCCACCATGGGACGTCCCCCACCGGCTGCTGTCTGGACCTGGATGTTTCTCCTCTTGCTGTTGGAAGCCTGGGCAGGTGAGGGGGGCTGGAAGGCATCAGTGGTGCAGCACGGAAGCCTACAGGGATGCCGTGATGGTGATGTTATGTGGGTGCATGTGGTGGCATGGGGAGGGGTGGTGAAGCAAGCGATGGCATGTGGGAGCTTCTGTGGGCTTTCCTGAGGGTGGAGGGAGCACGTGGCAGCAAGTAGGAGTGCGTCAAGTGGATGCTGTTTATTGCACGAGCACATCAAGCCAGCAGGGCTGTTTGGGAGGCGCAGATAGACGCGGGAGTGTACGGGGCACGTGGATGTATGTGGAAGTGTGCTCGGGTGTGTGACTCTATGTGCGATGACTCAGGGGCTTACAGGGGTGGATATGTGTATCCGTGTGGCAGCCAGGGCCTCAGGGGTGAGGGCATGTGGACGTGGGAGAGGCAGGCAGAGAACTTGCTGTGTGTCCCTTTGAACCCACGGTGCTTTGCATGGCCCAGCGCTGTGCCCCAGAGGGTGGTGATCCAGCCCTCTCCCTCCACCAGCAGGACACTTCCTGGCACAAGAGAACAAAATCCTGGACGGCCACGAGTGCAAGGCCCATTCACAGCCTTGGCAGGCGGGCTTGTTCCAGGGTATTCGGCTGCAATGTGGGGGTGTCCTCATAGGTGACAGCTGGGTCCTCACGGCAGCCCACTGTAAAAAGACGTGAGTGGATGCCTGGGGAAAGAGGGCGCTGGGGCCTCATTTCAGGAAGGGGAGACCGGGGGATTGGGCATCAGAAAGGAGGTCCAAGAGGGAAGTGGGGGCCCCCAACTCCTGGGTCTGAGGAATGAGGGGGCTGGGGTCCCAGACTCCTTCCTGCCTGGGTCCTAAACTAACCCTCCACCATTACAGGAAGTACACGGTACGCCTGGGAGATCACAGTCTGCAGAATAAGGAAAGGACAGAGCAAGAGATGGCTGTGGCTCAGTCCATCCCGCATCCCTGCTACAACATCAGCAGTGGGGACCACAATCACGACCTGATGCTCATTCGACTACGTGGTCGGGCATGCCTGGGGCCCAAAGTGAAGCCCATCAAACTGACAGATCGCTGCCCTCAAGTTGGCCAGAACTGCACCATCTCAGGCTGGGGCTCTATCACTAGCCCTCGAGGTAGTAGGAGGGAGAGGAGGAGCTGGTTGGCCCAGTGGACCCCAAGCCATTGGCAAAACTTTGCCTTCAGAAGAAGATAAAGAAGGGAAAATAATTGTGATCTTGAGATTCACCTTGAAGGCCAGAATATTAACAGGAGTGGCAGGAGAAAGAAAGCAAACTAGCAGATTGTTAAGCAAGGCTCAGAAAAGTAGAAGGATGAATGAATGAGTGGCTCAATGAATGCATGCCTCCTTTATGATGGAGAGCACCATGTTATGAGACTTTTGCTGTACAGGATTTTATAGAAACTTCTTAACAGACATGGGATCTACAGGCTCCTCAGTGGTCCAAGAAAACAGGTCCCAAAGCACCTTCTTCCTCTTGAGCTCAAGATTCCTGGCCCCAGATCCCTTCTGCCCTCACATCTAGGAGTCCAGGTTCTTTCTCCTCCAGGATCCACAGGCTAGGTCCAGAGCTCCCTCCTCACTCCACATCCAAAAGTCTGCACCTCCATGGAAGTCCTCCCTCTGGGACTTCCGAGTCCAGGGAACCCCTCACCCTGCTTCGCAATGAAAAAAATTGGGGCTCCGCTCAGAAAGGCGACGTGATTGGCCACGAAGCAGCAAAGCCAGAATTCAGGTCCCTGCCTGTCTGACTCCTACTTCTAAGGAGACAGCGGGATGCCGTGGAAACCTGCCTGCTCGGGAATCAGGCAGGTCAGTTCAAACCATGGCTCTGGGCAAGTCCCCTCCCTTCTCTCAGCCTCACTTTCCTCATCTGTAAAATGGGGATAATTATTCGATAGATTTTTAAGATCCATACGGGCTCAGGTTGCATCTCTTTTCTTCACTGGATGTTCCTGGTGCTCAGGATGGCGCTGGTATACAGTAGGCGCTCAATAAATATTTGTGAAATAAATGCATAGATGAAGGAATGATGGAATGAATGAAAACATCCCTCCTTTAAAGAGCCATTGTGAGGAGTAAATGAGATGGTAAGCATATAGCTTCCTGCACACAGAGTGCCAGACAGAAGTTTTCTCCCTTCGAGTCTATTGCTCAAAGATCCATAAGAAAGATGAATTCCACTTTCAATCATTAATTCAACACTTCTTTGTGAGCATCTGGTGTGCCTCAGGGGTTGTACTGTGTGAAGTCCTTATGCCTTAGGGAGTTGCATGCTAGGTGGGGGAAACAGACAACACACAAATACAAATAAAATAAAACATTAGGTAGAGTTACATGCTATGATGGAATATCATGGAGGCTAAGAGGAAAAGGAGTGATGGAAAGGCCGTGTTTTAAGTAGAATGGTCAGGGAAGGCTTCTAGGAAGAGGTGACATTTAGAAGAAGTAGGATTTAGCTGAGATGGAGGATCTGGTGGTCTGGAGTGGGAAGATTGGAAAGAAAGGGTCAGAGGAGTCACAAGGGGGCACCCCCAGTCCCCCTGGTCACCTGATCCTTAATTTGAAGATGACTCGGGGCCAGAAACAGAAGGTAGGGTGTGAGGGCTCTTCTCTAGATGGAGGAAAGGAAACAGCAGGGGCCAGGACTTTGTTTAATGTGGTGAGAAGTGATGTCCCTTTCAAAATGTGTCAGAAACTCCGCCCCACACACACCATCCCGTGTAGCTATGGATGGACAGAAGGGAGGTTAGATCCAGGAAGGATCAGAGGGAAAGCGTTGCTCTCTTCAGTAACTTACAACCTCTGCCCCCTCAGAGAATTTTCCTGACACCCTCAACTGTGCAGAAGTAGAAATCTTTCCCCAGAAGCGGTGTGAGGATGTCTACCCTGGGCAAGTCACAGATGGGATGATCTGTGCAGGGAGCAACAGCGGGGCTGACACGTGCCAGGTGAGTGACTTCTGAAACCTTCTTCCCTCCCCCCCTCCCTTACCACCCTGTAGAAGCTCAAGGAGTTAGCACCCAGAGAGGTTGCCCCTACCTCTACGGAGTAGGAAGCAGGTTCAGAGAAGGCCACACACTCCCTGGAGGCCACACAGCACAGGGATCAGGAATGTCGAATTGTCACTGTCATTTTCTTGGGAACCTTGCCTGCAGGAAGGAATGCAGGGTGGAGAAGGAGTCAAAAGGAGTGAGAGGAGAGGTCCATGAGGGAGACAGCCTGAGGCTAGAGGGCATGCAAGCTCCCTCTCTCAGTGTTGCTGGAATTTGTGCTGACTCTATCACTGACTAGGGAGTCAGCCATTTTTCTTGGGACTTGACTGAGTTCCCTAGCACGGCTGCCTTCTACGGTGGGTTCCTTGGAACAATGCTCTTTTCCCAAATGGCCGGGGAATGGTGCCATTGACTTCAATGCTCCCTCAATGAGCTCCCCATTCCCAAGATGACAATTCTTGGGATTTGCCATAGACAGAACATTCTCTTTCCTATTAGCTGCACCTCCCACCCTCAGGGCTCCCCCTGGCTTTGTCTTCTTCATGGAAGCCCCACCTCCTTGGCTAATGATTGGCCCCTGAAGACGATGCTTCAGTGCTTTCTTCCCCATTGGCCAGGAATGGTGTCATTTCCGCCCGTGATCCTGTCATGAAGCCCAATCCATCTGGATGGTTTTGTAGAGACAAGGGTCTCTTCCCACAAAGACTCCTGCCATTGTCTCTTGGTGTGTGTGCACCTGTGTTCGTGTCCACAAGAAGCCTGCTCCTTTCTCCTATGTTTGGGAACTGGTTTCCGGGATCTCTTCACCAGTGGGCAGGAACGGAGGAGACATTAGCTCAGCCTGCTCCGTATAATCTCCACTGTCTTCTCTCTGGATTGGACCCTGCAGACAGCATTCTCTCCCCTCATTGGTCCACATACCTGGAAGCCCCACCCCTCTCTCTCTCTCTCACCATTGGTCCCAGGGGATGATGCTCTTATCCCCCATTGGCTAGAGGGAACCAATCATGCTACTGGTACCAAACGCTGGGTACCGCCGAGAAAGGAGCTTTGTGAGCATCTTGAGTGAACCTCTTTTCTTCCTCTCTCCCTCCAGGGCGACTCCGGGGGCCCGCTGGTGTGTGGCGGTGTCCTTCAGGGCATCACATCCTGGGGCTCAGACCCCTGTGGGCGGCCCGAGAAACCTGGCGTCTACACCAACATCTGCCGCTACCTGGACTGGATCAAGAAGACCATAGGCAGCAGGGGCAGATTCTAGGGCGAGCTCTGGACCCCCCTTAATAAACTCACAACCTCGGGTGTGGCTCCTTGCCTGTCTGTGCTTCCGCCCTGCCAGGAAGGGTGCAAGGGTGGGGGTCTGCGCCCTGCTGGGGGGCTTGATAGGTAGGCTAGAGAGACCAAGACCCCCACGGCCACTCTGGCCATCGCCTTTGCCTGAAGCGATTCCCTTTTTTCTAGAAGAACTTGGAGGAGAGGGAGGTTAATTTCAGGGGAGAGAAGATATGTAAGTATTTCCAGATATCCAATGGCCTGGCCTGTGAAAGACAGGCTTGAAACGGTTTTTGTTTGGTTTTTCTGAGCGGCTAAAGTGTTTCTAAGCTTTGCGGGGAGATTTTCCCTCCCCTACTTTTAAAACTGTGAGGCATACCAAGTAGGGTGCAGGAAATATACAAGCATCTTAAATATTCACATATGAACATCCAGGAAACCAACACCCAGGTCAAGAAATAGAACGTTGACAGCCCCCAAAAGTCTGAGAAACAGGTTTTTGTTTTGTTTTGTTTTTATCGAGAGAAATAGAAATCTTTCTCACCACTTAGAGCTGTCTGGAGGTGACTACTGTGGTAAAGGGAGATGAGCTGCTTCATTGCTCGTGTCCAAATTGAAGCTTGGAGAAAAGGACATTTTGGGGAGTTTTCATTAGAGCAAAGGCTTAATGTAAGTTGCTTTGGGAGAGATGTGTGAAGTGGGTAAAGATATAAAGAAATTGCAAAGAGGTAGAGCTCGGCTGTCCTCTGTGTCTGTCTCATCTCCCTTCAGGTATGTTCCATTCCTTTCTTGCTACCAACCACCTAACTCATTTGTTTGACTCTATCATTCCTTCCGCTGCTTCATGCTTCCGCATTTTCACAGTGTATGCTCCCTCATGGGATGCTCCAGTCTCTCTCCCTGCCTCACAGCCTTTGAACTTCACCTTCAACTACCACCAACTGCTTCACCCAAGATTTCTCAGATTATATTCTCATGCAAGAGAATCCAATGTTCCAGCTCCTCTTTTCTCCTTCAGCCACATCATAGGTCACTGAACGGCCAATGGTTTGCCTGCATTTTGGTCAGGTGACCAACCTTATCCAATCAGTGGCTATTTGGAGTCATGTGATATGAGACGTGACTGTCCAGGGCTGTGGGTGGGGCTTGTTCTCCGCAAGGCCTGTGGATGTGAGTGATGCTCTTGTGTATATCAGCTTCCTTGATCCTCCGTGAAAACCCTCTAACACCATAAATCCTGAGGAAGTCTGTCATACCTGATACTAACCCCTGGTGCCAGGGATGCATTTCCGGAGGGACTACTCAAGGGTCATCTCAACCTGAAGAATTGCTTTATAACTTTTGTTATGAAAATTTTCAAACATATATAAAATAGAGAGAAGAGCAGAATGACCCCTTACATGCCACCATCCAACTTAGTGCAAAACCAATTCTTGCCTCACCTGTACTCCCATACACCTCCCTAGTGCTGGAATATTTTTGATTGGAAGCAAATCTCAGCCATCATTTCATTCTTAAATATTTCATCACATATTTTTAAAACAGGATGGCAAACTACGGCTGGTAGGCCAAATCCCAAGATCTAAAAATAATTTTTACTATTTGATTTGATGACAGGGAACTCTGTCACTAACATAACTCTGTCATAACTCTGAACACTAATTGAGCAAGATGTCATCTCCCGAAAAATAATTCCATTTTTCTCATTAATGGAGGTGTATGACAAAAATTTGTGTTAAATGATCATTATTGTATTTTGAATTTCATCAATTAAAAATGAGTGGAAATTTATTTTCTCTCTTGTTATGTAAGTACCTGCATAATATCCTCGATTTTGTCTCTTGGTACACAAAACCTAAAATACTATCTGGTCCTTCATGGAAAAAGTTTGCCAATCCCTGCTCTAAAAGATAGATTCTTTTTAAACCTGACCACCTTATGTTATCACGTCTTGCAGAGTTAATAATAATTCCTTAATATCACCCAATATCCAGGTGATATTTAAATGTCCCCAACGGAGTGTAAACCAGACAGGATTTGAAGATGCATCTATGGTATTAAGGAGAAGGGTGGGTGAGGCCAAGGAGAGGAAGGGGCCTGTCCAAGGGCCAATTGGAAATTCAGGAATAGAATCATGGACTGTGGAATCTGGCAGGAAATCGGAGCACCAAAGTGCAGACAAAAGCTGGAAGGACCCGGTGAGTCAGGGAGCTTATTTCTGCCTCCATCAGGGAGTTTTGGATACAAGTGTCAGAGCCCTGGTTCAAACTGGCTTATGGACGAGGGCATTGATTGGCTTAGGTGGCTGTGGGGATGGTTCATGATGTCAAGGAGGTGACATGGGTACCAGAGTCTTTAGTCCTTGAAATGGTGACTCTCTCTGTCTCTCTGTGACACTATTTGTCACTCTGGCTGCCTCTCTCTGTCTCTGTTTCTCTCTCCCATATGTGTGAGCTGTTTCTCATCTCTGCTTGCCTCTTTTCCTCTCCTGTGGATCTCATTTCTAGCTTCTGTAAAGACTTCTTCACAGCGAAGGGAACACAGCTGCTACAGACAGACCCAGTTAAGCAAACCCAGCAGAAACAAAAACCTTCTTTTCTCACTGCATCTTGATATTAATCCCAGGGAAGAACTCTGATTGGTTCAGCTTGAACTGAGCTCACCCCTTTGATCCATCATTGTTGCCAGAAAGGAAGCAGTATGCTCAATGACTTAGCTTGGATCAAGTGTCCATCCCAATGGGTGGGTGGGTAGGTAGAAGGGTTTGGGGAACTGTGATTGACAGTTCCACCAAAACTATATGAAATGAAGGGGCAGCTTCCCAAAAGAAGTAGGGAGCTGTTCTTGAAAGAAGGAGGAAAGGAATCCAGAAAGTCAGAAACAATGGGTTCCAGAACACAATGGGCTGAATCAGAAGGTTCCAGGGTCACAATATCCAGGTTCCCTCAGGGCAAGGCACAGCTGGCAAGACAGACGGATGCCAGTTCTCAGGTGTGATCATGAGCTGGAAGATGAGTCATCAGACAAAGGTTCAGCATAGATCTGAGGGCCAAGGAGGTATGAGGCTGGGTGTCTGGGTGCAACTTAGGAACAGGTACTAAAGCGAAAGGGCACGGGAGGACTGGTATTTGGGGCTATCACCAACATGGGGGTGTGCATCCTTAATAATAAGCCCCTGGGGTTCTGAGTTCATTTTGAGCCGTGAGACTCTTGAGGGTATGTGAGGTTGTCCCAGAGTGTGGGTTTGTGCAATGGTGACACCATGGCGATGCCCAGCACTCAAATTCCGACTCTTCTGACTCCTCGACTGTCTGACTTTGCTCAAGTGATCTAATCTCTTTCAAACTTCTAATTTCTCCTCTATAAAATGGGGAAGACAATCCTCGCTTGGACCCACGTGAGGAATGGCCATGAGGTTTGAGAAGCACCCAACACATCACACAGTAGGTACACAAGAAATGGAAGGTGCTTCACTCCTTGGATGATGGGGTAAGGCAGCTAATATTAATTCAGTGCCCATTATGTGCCCATCTATTTTCTTCTCTGTAATTTTATTTAATCCTCCCATTTTCCTTGGGATTGCTTTCCCCTACTATAGAGAGGGGCAAAGTGAGGCACAGAAAAATTAGGTCACTTACCTGAAATCACAGGGAAGGCAACCAGGGTTCACACCTGTGTTGGTCTGACTTGTAAGACCAACTTCTTTCTATCACACCCCATGGCTGAATGGTACAGGGATCAAGGAAGGGCTGAGTCTAAGGTTGGCAGATCTGTGGGTGCCAGTCGTTTGCAAACTAGTATTTAAGTATCTCCTATGTTCCCTGGGCTGGGCTTGGTGCTAAAGAAAACACCAGTGAACATTAGACACATTCTCTCTGCTCGCGAAGACCAGTGATTAGCAATAAAATCAGATCAAATAATGAAGAACACAGAAAGACAGATAGGCAAAGCACAGCAGAAGAGAAGTTCTGATGATCTAGGAGTGAATACCAGGGCTCCTTTCCTCATTCTAACAGAATGTTGAGGAGGTAGAGAGCTGAGGGGAGAACCCAGGGATGAAGATTCGGGCAGGAGATAACATATTGGAATTCTTGCCAAAACTCCTCTCCTTGGGAAGTCAGGAGGGAAAGATAGAGGTTGCTGGGTCATGAGGCTGTGAGGTCAAGTGGCCTGGGTCTGATTTGGGAGTCCAAGTTAGGAAATATGACACCCCTCAAGGCCAGGGTGATGCTGTGGAATTGGTGGGGTCAGGAGTCTGAGTTCTGGGGTCTAATTTTGGATTTGACGAGAGTCAGTGTCTCAGAAGTTTGGGGGACCTAGCTTGAATTTTGTCAGTATGGGATCAACATTAGTATGGTGTTAGTGGGTAGACTTTTTGTGAAACAAAAGGTCAAGGTGGTGTGTAGAATTGATGAAGGGGTGGGTGAAAGAGTTGGGCATGGAAATGAGGATGGGATTTCAGGGATAAATTGGGCTGGAAATGAGAATAGGGGTGGGATTGGGATCAGAGTGTTAAGATTGGCGTCGGATGTAAGTTAGGGATGGGTTCTTGGGGAGGATGTCACTGCTTCCAGGAATATGATAGGGAAGGAGACAAGTCTGAGTTGTGCATGGGGTCAGATTTTGGATTGAGGGTATGGTGACGTTCAGGGCTTGGGTCAAGGTTGAGTTTGGCTCATGGTTAGTTGTTCAGGACTCGCGTCGAGAGTCAGGGTTAAGGTTGATTGGGGTGTGAGTCATAGCTTGAGTTGATATTTGGAGTCAGGAATTTGGTCAGGAATAGGTTCCAAGTTGCGGTATAAATTGGAGTTGGTCAAGGATGAAGCAGAACTGAGGGTTAGAATTGGGTATGAGTTGAGGTTTCAGGTTAAGACTCAGGCTTATGTCAAGATTGGTGTTAAGAGTTGTGTCAAAGTAACGATTGGAGTTAGAATTATGCTTGAAGTCAGGAACTGAGGTCTTTCTCACCCTCTTAAGCTCTTGATCATATCTGACCTTGCCTTCTCAATGAATGGCACCACCATCCAT